TGCCTGTATACATCTATTTAATTGGCATCTATCCATATAAATAAAATTGGATTGTCTGTTTGTAATATTGAAATAACCGCTTTTTACTATATGCATTTATATATATGTATATATATATGATACATACACCAAAATAACATTTTTTAATTTTTTGTCTGTCCGTTTGTTCTGGCTAATCTCTGAAATGGCTGGACCAATTTTCACGAGACTTCTATTGGCAGGTAGCGGATGTAATAAGGAGTAACTTTGGCTATTTTTATTTCAGAAAAAACCTTTTTTTTTTAGGAAAAAAACTAAAAGTTAACGCGGATGAAGCTGCGAGCGGCTGCTAGTATTGTATAAGTATGTACAATACACAACATAACCAAATATTTGATGGTAGAATTTTCCTTATTAACACAGTCATATAATTGGTATAATTAAACTTATAGATAGGTATTACAGCTAAAACTATTTAGAAAAACATATTTCAGGTGAATTACTAGATAGGTATTGTTATATTGACGCCCACTTTTGTGTGATTATTATATGAATAAAAGTACACCTTGTAGGATAGTATTATTTATTAATGTATAAAATAATGTTATATGGTATGGTATAAATAATACTCCAGATACTATTTATCAACATATTTTACGAGTCGTAATTATTGTAACATTACTGCTACTGTCAAAAATAAAATGAATCACTAGGCTTTAGTAACTCTACCAGGATTTTTAATGTGAATGTTACAGATTTATTTGCGATTAACTGTGTTTCTGAACCCCAAAATGATTATTCTCACAGCCAGGCAGAAAAATCACTTATGTACATAAGTAATGAGCTACGTTTTTTACTAAACAAATCAGTTTACAGGGCTCACTTTATTGATCATCACGGCCTAAAATAACCCTAAATTAAAAGGTACAAACTAAGTACATAAACATGATCTTCTGCAATATAAATAAAGTTTATAGGTACCTTTACGTAAATCCTTTAAATAATTTCACAATCAAACACATTCACTTAATTTTTATTATTTATATTGGGAATTTGGTAGACCATTAGTGATAGTAAAACTAAACGTCTAAACCACAAAATCTCCTACTGATGTGCCTTAGGAAAACATACAGCCACAGACCAATACAGATACTGCGCCTGTCACATACAGCAGCGAGTGCTTACCCCTAGCACAAACCAATATAGAAATCGAATAGTTTGCAGACCGAAATGTCATTTTCAAATTTTGTATGGAAACTTGAACAGCAGCGCCACAAAGTGCGTAACTAGAACTAAAAATCAGTACATATTTGACAATGAAATTTCGTACTCGCATTCGTAACGAATTCGATATTGGTTCGTGCTAAGGGTACTGCACGCGAATTTCGACAGTCTTATTTCGCACAGTAGTACAATAGGAGGTGTGAAATTATTAAAGCTGTAAATATTATCGTGCAGTATGGAGTAGCGCGCTGAGCGGAATGGCTATTCAGTGTTGTCATCTGCTAAACTAAAAAATCATAAGCACGGAGTGTAAAAATCACTATAAAACCTGCATGCTTGAATTAAGTCCAATAAACTTGCGGGAGGTAGTTTAAAGAATAACTGAGCTATTAATAATATTTTTATTAATTTTGCAAATTAATTCACATGTTATTACTCTACTTAAAGTAATAACATGTGTTCTACCACTTATAAAGTTATATAAAGTAGAACAACTACATTTCACTCGTTAAAATCACCAATTCGCTAATAAACTGTAGAATTAAACTGAACATTCGAACATTGAACAAACAACCCACATAGCGAACTCCAATACTTACGGCCTCAGATTAAAAAACAAAATCTGGGTCACGCCGCCATTTTTTGCTGATTTTGAAAACTGTTTTCTCCGCGGTCAGTATTTTGAAAAGTATTATAGATATCGGATTTTCGATGACGGCTTTGGATTAAGCAACAAAGTGACTCAAGTAGACATTATGATTATTTCAGGTCAGATAATAAACAAAAAATATATTTCGAATGAAATCTGAAAAAAGGTAGTAAAATTCCATAAAAACTTCTATCCACCGAGGTAGAGGTGCACTTTAACTATCGTAGTAGCAAATAGTATGTCAGTTTTTGAGACATGGTTGATACTATAAGAATACTTATATTAATAGCTATCCGTGCTTTTAATTTAGCAACGTTTATCCTAAGAATTTCCTTGAAAATGATTACAAATAAGTTTTCGACAAAAACTGTACTTATACGCCACTTTTGTCAACGCCACCTATTCTCCATGTTCTATTAAACTTTAGGAATCGGTGAAGTTCAAATCGGGAAGTGGCAACACTGAGTTTCTGTAATCTGTGGACAGCGGCTTGATGAGCGGCTATATTTTTGACAGTTGACATGTGAACGCCTGGTGTAGTTTGTGTACACAATTTTTTCAAGGTAAGATTTTCGTCCATAAAAAAGTAAGTTTGATTGTTACACGAGACAAGATTTTCGTCCATAAAAAAGTAAGTTTGATAATAAATGTCTAGTTGATTATAAAATTGTTGATGTTTTCATTTACTTAGATATAGGGAACTACTTCTTATTCTAAATTCAACGAGCTGGTCCATTAGTGGGGGTCCATTATTAAATTGTGTTCATTGTTAGATCTCCATATTTGGTGCATGTTCATCACTGGATGTCCATTAAATGATTTTCCTTGTCCATTACTAGCTTAAAAAACTGTGTTTATATTTTAATGATATCTCTCATTTTTATGCGGTTATTTCTAACTTTTTCGGCATAAGCATAAAGGAAAAAAAGACGGACATTAAGCTCAACATTGATATTTAAACAAAATCCTGATATATTAGGAATAATCCTGCAAAAACCCACCTTTTCATCCTTAAAGTGTCCATAATTGGTGCAATTACGTTATACAACATAATTTAATCTTAATATTTTGGCATGTGTATGCCAACCTTAACATTTATTCGTCACTATTATACGCTACTCAACGTCACCGACGCGTAGAAGTTTCTACGCCACCAACACAATACATATCAGCAAAAAATGGCGGCCTGACCCATCTATAATCTGAGCGCACGGCGTCTGTGGTTCAGTAAAACGTTGTTGCCCGACCGGAAGAAAAAAAAGACGAACTGAATGTATAGATTTCCTTTGGAAACACTAGCCTCCTTTCGCGTAGTACTTACTCACCCACAAAGATATCTTGGGAAATCCTCAACTCTTTGGTTAATGTTGTCAGGACAAGCCATCTTAAACCTAACTAAAGTCTTTAAATTTTGAATCTATAATCTTAAATCGTAGAGTAAAATCTGACACCTGTATTGGTACGGTAGCCTAAAATCTGTATAAATACAGATAAATCTGTATATATGGCAACACTGTAGCTATTCGCTGCAAGTCTAAGGGTGCGGCCAGAGTGCACTCAGATTCAGATTCAGATTCCGAAAACAAGCGCGAGAAATAAACAGTGTAGTCGAAGGGTACGGCCAGATTGCACTCCTGATTCAGATTCAGACTCAGAAAACAAAGCGCGAGAAAAAGCAGGCAACCTGCTTAGACTACACTGTTTATTTCTCGGGCTTGTTTTCAGAATCTGAATCCGAATCTGAGTGCACTCTGGCCGCACCCTAAGGCTGCAAGTGTAATTGAACAACTTGTACAATTTGACTAGCAGCGCGGCAGCGAATTGAATTTGCGGCGAGTGAATCTATTCGCAGCGAATAGCCTTTCATATACAGCGAATAGTCGCTGCGAGTTGGCATTCGCAATGAGTAGCGCCTCTATTCGCAGCGAATATACTCGCTCGAGTACTCGCTGTGTGTGACTGTGGCTTATCTGATGATTACTGCAGATCGAAAAAAATCCATGTAAGAATGATAATTAAATATTCTGTTGTGTAATTTATTAATATACTTTATATATTAGTGTAAAATGCAAGAGGGCCAATTTTTGTGCGGGGGAGGGGGGCAAAGTTAGTACACTCTACCCTACAAAAGCTACGTGCCATGAACTGAATTTTCCTATTTTACTTAATACTTCATCAGCTCGAATATTAAAATATCAATTTACTTTTCAACTACTAATGTCAATTGAAATACTTTGAATAGACTTTCCGGTGCAACACTATTGAACCATAAATTACACCGAAGAGTAGTATTTTTATATTAAGGACGCAGCAGCTGGCAGCTATCATCTGTCAAAATTGGTCACAATAAATAAAGTAACCTTTTCGACTCAAGTCTCTATTTACCATTTTTCTTAATTAAATTATAGAAATAAATGTATTATAAAGAAAGTGAACTAGAAATGCAAATAAATGTGTTGAGAAATCTATTTAGTGATTCACTGCGTTTGAAATAAGAGGTAATATTTTTGTTTACTTTTGCTCTACTTGAAACCAAATAAACTCATGTGACAAGTTACTCTGTAAACAAAACCAACTGAGCTATCGTCTTTTTGAAGTATGAGTCATAAATAGTTTATAACTTTGTACCAAGAAAAATGATGATTATAATTATTAGTGGTTAGACTTTATGTACCAATGACTTGCTTCATAATTCTATGTTACTAGACGATAATAGCGCTACACGCCAGTGCATAGGAAAAGCGCCAATGTTTGTATCCAAGTGATGTGTCCTATTATAGCGATTTTAATACTGCAAAGGCGCTGTAGGTTTTTCAAATAACTGTGGGTATTTAAATTCGTGATTACTCTAATATTAAGCAAGTAGCACAAAATTTTTGGATTTTTTTGCAATTACTTTAAACTACATTTATCTACAATATTTTGGCAAAATGAGATTTAAATATATATAAATAATTTATAAAAACCAGCAACAAGGTTCTGCTTATAATATTTAGGAATTTGAGTGTATTTTTAATTTTAAGCAATAAGTGTGTGTCCTTTACTTGTGCGAAATAAAAGTGAACATCAAATAGTGAGAAATGGTTAAATATTATCATTAATATTGTTATTGAATTTCTTTTAAAGAATAACTGTTTTTATTTTTTAGACATACAAGCTTAGCAACTATGACATATCCAAACCGCCCACCGCCACCACCACCCGTGGACCAGCCCATGGGCTCCACTAATACTATATTTATTACAGAAACTCGATTTGATCCGTCATTTCTAAAAACCCCTGAAGGTATCTTGAAAATTATCATCATTGTAAGTATTCGCTGTAGTAGTTTATCACAAAATAAACTCTTTATAAGATATAGCCCTTTAATGTGTTCAGTTTGCAGATAATATCACTTATCTCAAAAGAAAGTATGTCCTGCTGCCAAACTAGTTTCCTAAAAACACTTAAAAATTCAAATAGTTATAATTTGTATTTTAGAGTATTTTTTTTTAAATTGCACACCAATTAGCCTAGCTCCAAAGTAAGCACTGTAAGGCTTGTGTTATGGGATACTAGGGTAACGGATAGAATACATATACTGTACATATATAAGTATATTTTTATAGAAATACATATTAAACATCCATGACTGGAGTACAAATACTTGTATTCATCACACAAACAACTGCCCCCACCGGGATTCGAACCTGGGACCTCTCGAGTCGGCGACACCATGAAACCAGGCGAACAAAACACTCGACCACGGAGATCATCATTTTGAAGTAATTAAGAGTCTGTCTTTATTAGCTGCAATAAAGAATGATTTACCACTAATTCTTTTTAACTTACAATTTTTTGTGAAAGGTTTTAGTATAATTTTTTTATATTAATTGACTTTTAACCCACATACAATGCAAAGCTTTCCATACAGATAGTAAAATTCTACATGTTAAGTTATAAGTCGCAGTCTGCAATCATCATCATCTACTTATCCACACTGGACTTGAATACTAAACACTGTTATCGATAAACGAGGAATAAGCTTAGACTAGCTATGCCATGTTTTGTTCATCATCAGCCTATTAATGTCCCCACTGCTGGGGCACAGGCCTTCCCTATGGATAGAACTGGGAGATTGGGCTATGACCCACCATGGGGGCCCATTGCGGATTGGCGGGTGCTAACGACTGCAGATGAAGCCGGGACCAACGGCTTAACGTGCCTTCCGAAGCATGGAGGAACTCGAGATAGAAGATTTTTGGTCACCCATCCAATGACCGACCACTGCGAAAGTTGCTTAACTTCAACGATCGCAGCCGAACGCGCTCACCGCCTGCGCCATCGAGCTCCTCTCGAGATGTTTTGTTCATATCTCTCAAATGCCATTTGTTATTCAATAATCAGAGACAGAACATGGAGTAACAGATCCAAGCTTATTCTTCGTTTATTAATATGGGGGAATATTCACAGAATATTTTTCCTTCATTTGTTGGATCTGAACTGTTAACATTGTGTTTATATGAACAAAATCAATAAAATTTTGAATAATAATAATAATAAATTCTTTATTTATTTCTTCACATAAGTAGAGTAAAGAAATATTTACAATAAAGTGCTTAATTACAATATTTCATTACTTAATGTGAAGACTGGTGCTTGCAATAGGATAAACCTATTCTAGAAGACACCAGGCCTCCACTCCCAAAACTACATGAACAGAGCAAGCCACCTTTGTACTATTTATGTGAATAATGTATTTATTAATATGAGAAGTGCTTAAGAAACGAATAAAAACACAATAATAAAAAATAAAATAAAAAAGTACAAACAACAATCAAATATTTACATCTGTAATTATACAAAACTCACAAAATCATGTTCGTAACTAAATCTGAAATGGTATATTATTCCTTCATAATATGTATTCACATTTTCAGGTTTTCAGTTTGCTTGGGTTCATCTGCATTCAAGCTTCCGCATTCTGGCAGAATGGTCGAGGCATCTATTTCAGCTTGGTAGCCAATCTTGCTTTCTGGTCTTCGGGGTGTCTGCTTCTTTGCTACCTGTTCCATGTGGTAGAGAAGTACCACAACATTAAGTGGCTCAAAATAGAAATTGTTGTGGATATTGTACTGGTGTTTCTATATGTTATCGCTTCTACTATTGTAGTTGCATTTGGATCAGCAGCGTACTCTGCAGCTGGGGTAAGTAAATATATCATAATAATATTTTAAAATAAGAACTCGGAAATGGATAAAGAGATTTAAATTCATGCAATGATAATTAAGACTTGAAAGGAATAAAATAATGGATATGAAATTTTATATGGGTTACCAAGTGTTTCACGCAGACTACTTTACTGGCTTCCATTCGTGTATTGATAGTCATACGACAAGGTTAGGTTAGGTTAGGTTACAAGCATAAATAAATGTATTTACTGTGTTTAAAAGGTTTTGCATTCAGTAAAAAAAAACATTAAATAAATAAATAAATATTTCCAACACTCACACCTATTAGTCTAGCCCCAAAGTAAGCACTGTAAGGCTTGTGTAATGGGATGCTAGGGGTAACGGATAGTATACATATACTGTACACATATAAGTATATTTATATAGAAATACATATTAAACATCCATGACTGGAGTACAAATGCTCGTATTCATCACACAAACATCTGCCCCCCCCGGGATTCGAACCCGGGATCTCTCGAGTCGGCGACACAAGAGGGTACAAACCACTCTGCCACGGAGCTCGTCAAATATCAAATCACAAGTTGGATATGCTTTGGTAACAGAACCTGCGTGCTGTTTGCGAAATGAAATCATGTTAATGAAGCTCCAGTCACAGCTAGTAATAAATAAATAATTATGGTCATTACCACAAATATTGCCATAAGTCCAGTCCAGATATGGGACAATAAAAAGATAACTTATCTATATTGACCTGCCCCTCTAGCATGACCACCGAAACGGGATATGATAAAGCGATATATCGACATTAACTGTCAGCCTACTGTCAAACTCCATAGTAGTCTGACAGTTAATGTCGATATATCGCTTTATCATATCCCGTTTCCGTGGTCATGCTAGAGGGGCTGACCTGTCATCTGTGTGCCTTAATTGTAAAATAGTAAAATCATAAATGGAATGAGTTACAGAAATTTACAGAATAATTATGTTCAATAACACAGAAATGGGGCAGTCTAATTAAGACCATTTTTGTTTCGGGGTTCTAAGCAATATTTTCTGGTCAATAATGGATATTTCTTGAATTTATTAAATAGTAATAATAAATGGTATTGTAGTACAGTAGGTACGTGTGTTAGTATATATGGGGCTTGAAAATCGATCTCTCTGACTCAGTGACACACTTTAATGCATAGAATAATAATTGAAGTGAAACTTTTATTAAATAAACACATCATCGACGATTTTTTCTTTCATCTTTAGCACATTGCATTTTTTTTTATTGTTATAATAAAAAACATAGCTTATACAAGCATCGGGAGTTCAGTGGTAGAAAGTTCGCGGTATACCCAGCCAAGGAAGGATTTTATTTACTTATTTGACATCAACTTCGAATAATTTTACGAAAAAAAATATTTTAATACCTACTAACCCAAAAACAAATTTAGAAGATCTATGTAAAACACTTTTAGGGTGAAGCCAAACGAGCGTAATTTTGTGAGTTGTGAGTCGCTTATTTTCGGTCACTTATTTTACGTTCAACTGAATTTCTGTTGAGCTGCCATACGAACGTAATTTATTCAGTTACTATTGAGCGTTAGTACGGGGTGTTGGTGTCGTCGAGTGCAATGGATCCATTAAAAATATTGTGTATTTACGAAGCATATTCAGAAGATGAGGCCAGAAAAAGAAACTGGGTAAATCCACTGAATAGTCAAGAGGCTGATATGTGGACAGTTCCATACTTTATATGAACGTTTATGTGCAAATCCAGATATGTTTGAAAAGTACTATCATATGCCATTACGTGTTTTTCAAGAATTATTACACCACGCAACTTGTAACAAACTGTTGCTTCCCCACTCCCCTTCCTTGCGCTACCCTCACCCCGACCGAAATTCGGACGAGCTTATGCGCATTGAGTCGGCAGACAACTCATTTTGCGTTGTCGTGTGGCACTAACTGCCTTTTTGTATGAAACCGAATGCAGCAGAATTTCTGCGACCGAAATTCTGCGACTCACCACTCACAAAATTACGCTCGTTTGGCCTCACCCTTAAAGATTCATATGCATTGTGGTTGCTTTAAATTACACCATTTTTTTAATGTATCGTCATATTCATCATTGGCGCGTGCGCAGTATTTTAAATACACCTGACGGAGGCATACACGTTGTGTTTTCTGAAATCTGATCCTTATTACCGCGATGTAAATGCTGTTTTGTAACAATAGAAAGTAATACAATACGAGTGCGTACGTATTGTTGTTAAATAGTTTTCCTATGATTTCATTATTTGCTCAGCCTTATGCGGAAGTATAATCTATTATCTATACTTATAATAAATCTGTAGAGAGGTCAATTCTGTACATGAAACATATTTTCAAAATAACTATCAGGGGGTGATTAGTGATCGATACTGATGCCAAAAAAGCAATCAGTAAAATTTTTGTCTGTATGTATGTCCCTTATAGAAACAAAAACTACTCGACGGATTTTAACGAAACTTGGTGCAATTATTCTTCATACTCCTGGGCAGGTTATAGTATACTTTTCATCACGCTACAATCAATAGCAGCAGAGTAGTGAAGGGAAATGTTGGGAAAACGGGAGAAGTTACTCAATTTTTTAAGCTTCCGTCGCGTGTGCAGCCTTAATGGTTAAAGTTACATAGAAATCATGTATGACGGAAATATTCTACATAAAATTGTCTAAAAAATATCCCGCAACAGCATATGTCTATCTTTTACGGTTGACTCACAATAACACGTGTAACTCCTGATAGCTTAGCAGTTCGGAGCATTTTGATTATATTTGTTTACTTTTACGTTTATAATACTCTCACTCATCCCTAATTTAAAAAAGTTAACATTATTACCTATTCAATAAAAAAAGAATTAAATAAATAATTTCAATGTGTACAATACACGCCTGAGAACAAAAACTATAGTATACACTACAGCTCTACACCGAAGCGAAGCGAGGGCGGGCCACTAGTAAATAATAATTATAAGAAACATCTTTATACCTACCACTAAAGTGACTCGTATTATATTCATCGTCTATGAATGAGTCAAAAATGATTCACCAAGTTAGTGGGCATTTAGTGGGTTAGTTAGGTAGGCACCTATTTATCTACAATGGTAGATGATTTCATAATTTACCGTGACCTATTTGTGGGAAGTTTCATGTAGGTCGCCGCAATTAGTAGATTAGATCACTGACTATGACCACATTATTTCCTATTTGGTAATTATGTAGTTCGTTATTCCAATAACCACGTATCGTAAGTTTTGGATTTTTCTCTGTGTTTAATTACCTTTTTTTTAAATACTGAATTAAAATAATATAGTTCTTTTAACTATTTGACGACCTCCGTGGCCGAGTGGTTTGTACGCCGGGTTTCGTGGTGTCGCCGACTCGAAAGGTTCCGAGTTCGAATCCCGGTGGGGGCAGATGTTTATGATGAATACGGTCATTTGTACTTCAGTCATGTATGTTAACTATGTATTTCTATATAAATTTACTTATATATGTTTCTATCCGTTACCCTAGCATCCCTTAACACAAGCCTTATAGTGCTTACTTTGGGGCTAGGCTAATTGGTGTGAGTGTTGGAAATATAAATTTATAAAGTTTATTTATTGGAAATATACATACCTAATTATAAACAATTAAATTGACTAAGTAGGTATTTTACATGACCACGTGGTCGTGGTTGTCTGCGTGGAATATTTGGTTTCGCATACCATCTTTCAAATCCTCTTTTTCCTTTCACCGTCTTTTTTAAGGACTCCGTTCATCTATATGCCGAAAATTTATTAACATCGGTTCAGCGGCTTAGCCAAGACAGCTTATCAAAGATATATAGGTAGGCACAGACAGAAGAAACTCACATCTATAACATTAGTATCGAACATAAGAAGGAGATAGAAATCCTCTCTGAGTTTGTTTCGCCGGTTCTACTCAGAAAGGTCTCCCAATTTTGGAACCGGTGGTAGTTTACGGTAGTTAGGGTCAAATAAATAAACTCAAAATTACAAAAAGGAATTTTAAATAAAGTACTTTATTACCTAAATTAACTGATAAATTCATACATAGACAATATTTTTTTAAAAATCTAATGAAATAACCGAACGCTCTGCACTTTTTAAAAACACACTTAGGCATTGTTTTATCATATAAACACAAAATATCAGCAATATTTCTTTTTGGCGTTCACATGTACGTCGTTTGCATGTCAAGTTGTGACTAAGGAGATTGTGGTCTTAGGCCACAATTTATGCGGATCACTTTTGTGAGACTAGTGCCGTATCTACCCTTTTTGTTTTAATCTAAGACTATACGTGGGAGTGATTGGAGAATGTTGTCGTAGTTTTTCGGCTACTTGTCGATGGTGTCGTGCGGGGCGGAAGCATGGCTGAGGGCGCGCGCGGCGCAGACAGACAGCCTGCCTCAGGGGCGGCGCGTGGCGGCCAAGCCGGCACACGTGGTCACGCCGCCCGCCCTACCCTGACCGCCCACTGCATGCTCAGTCGTTGCATAAGCTCGTATTTTAAAAAAATCAACCAACAAAAGTCTGAATTTAGACAGCTCAGTAAAAAGAATTCGTAGTTTCATCAAGATGTTTGATGATGATCACATGACATTCAAATAATAGGGGTGATGACGGGGTACGGTAAACAAATTTCTATTTAGTCCGTCAGTTAGATAGTCAAAAAATAATGGACACGTATTTTTTCTTTGGGCAATCAACCAAAAAATGACAAAGTTATAGCGCGTCAAAGTTTGGGAGGAGGGGCTCGTGACGTCACTTTTAAGTGATATTTCACTTATAAGTGTACTCAAACGTGACGTCATGCGACATTTCAAATCAATATATCCATGCACTGTTTATATTATGTGAAAAAAGAAAAAATACGTGTCCAATACTTTTTGATAATCTACCTGATAAACGAAGAAAAAAAATTAGTCATCATCCCTATTAGTAGCTACAGTACCCTTAGTACGAGTTTGAGCTCAAGAAAACTGTCATAGTTTTCGTAATTGTAAATTATGTTTCTATGTCCATTTTGGTGAATATTGAAACTGAAACAATAATATCAGTACCCTTAGTACCTACCAGTGCGAACTCACGAAAACTATCATAGTTTTCATAATTGTAAAACTCGTAATAAGAGTACAGGTCGCGACACGTAACTCTAGTGCTGAACAGAACGCGTCAGGGAAAGCTGCGAATGGGTACGACTGGAGAGCCATTTGGCGCAACGCACTCCCGCCCGCACACCTCTGTTTTTCCCCCAAGGCAACTTAATTTTTATAAATGCGATTCAACTAAGAATAGGATCGACTGGGCGCCATTTTGTGATGTCATAGCTGTCAGTTGATACAAAATAGGTAGAGTGAGCAAAAAAGTTTTTTTCGATAAAACTTATTTACTAAGATTAAGTGAAAAAAAACATCAGATTTTATTAATAAAATTTATTTACTAAGATTGAGAAAGAAAAACAACCAATTTTTCAATAACATTCATTTATTAAGACTGTGTGAGTAAAAATATTAATCGGAATCTAGCTCTTCAATTCCGCTCAGCTCTGCATAACTACCGGACTTGTCTTCGTCGTCATGTTTGTTTACAAATGTTTGGTTTCTTTATTCTAGAATTAGCTGAGTGCTAAAAAAGAGTTCCAAGATTTTTTGCAAACCGTACTTTTCAAGCGTTATTTGACAGATGGAGGTCATTGGCTTTCCTATTCATATTTGAATCGCATATAATTCTGCGCAATAACAGTCAGCGTTAGAGTTTCGCGCCGCGACTTTTATGAGAGGTAAAGTTTTTGTTCACTTTAATTTTGGCTCCTAATACGTTTAAAACGGACTGACGACTGCACTCGTAACGGGATGTAATCCTACAAATAGTTTTTAATGAAAATAACAGCTTAAAAACAGTATTCTCAGTGTGCAAGGTTCAGATGTGATCTGAATATCAGTGGTAAGGGATTTTGCTTCTATTAAAGGAGCAATGAGCCGTCTAAATTTTCTATATAATTTTGGCTTGGCCAGTAGTTTCAGACTGGTGTACAAAAGGCAGTCTATTTAGCCATTTCCAGTTGTATGTCTTTATCGTTGTATAGTACTTTTATAACTGCTAGAAGCTGTGTTAGGCTTAGAAGTCATAAACGAGTAATTTCTGTTATAAAGGCGCTAAGTACAAATTTATTGTTTATTATTTGTATTTTTTATTTGCAATAGCCGGCTAAAAAGTCCGTTTGGTATTTCTTCAATAATGCGAAAGCGAATTGATTTAATTAAAAATTAGTCACCTGTAATTCGATAGAATTAACAAATTGTTCAATTACTTAGTATTGAAAACAATTTCACTGAGAAAAAATTGTAACACAGGCGCATTTATTAAGAATACTTTTATTGTATAATAAGCAAACAAAAATTATTAAAATCGAAATACCTGTAGGTTTTATAACTAATTTTACACACATTAATTTTAAGATTAGTCCATGTTATTGTTTCTTCGGGCGTTTCCAATTTGATGAACCTACTACTATATACCTTTTGTCTCTATTCTATGAAATTACTATTTATGAAATACTTACCAGATTTTCGACAATAATATTGTAAAGTAGCATTTTCCGCTTGGACGATATTTCTGGTTAAATAGGGTATTTGACAAGTTTTGGAAAACGATCTCACGTTATTGAATAATGTTTATGGAGTCCGTAAAAAGTGGATATTCATCATTCTGTTGTGTATTTCAGTAAAAATAACTAATCAAAAACTCCATTTACAAGTTGCCGCGAAAACGTTTCTCTGGACAATATGGCGTCTTACTAGTGTGTGACGTCACACGACTGTTATTAAAACGTCAAACGATACAATGTAATGTCACTTTAACCGGAAGTTTACTTGCGTGTGACGTTACTTTAGGCTTCGCTAATCCCAAGCGTTTTGTTTTGGGTTACGTGACAATAGATAAGAAAACTTATTATCTTTATAGTGGGTTTTTAGTAAAATTATGAATATTTTTTCCGTAAAAATAGTAAAAACCCCTGCCAATATTCATTCTAAACACAGATGCTAACTATTGACACTTTATTTTTAATACTGTCAAATACCCTATCAGTGTTTTTATTAAGGTTCATTTATACTTTCTACTTTAAATCTTGTTAACCTTCGAAGTCCGAAATCAATCAATTTTGTTGGTGACTTATTTTTTGTATATAATATACTTACAGTCTTATTTATTTTACCAGAATAATTAGTAAGTACTTAAGTTTGGTTTTTTAACTGACCATTTCCATGTGATATTATTTAAGATAAGAATAAATATTATGTATGTAGGTTATATACTAAGTTATTCACGTTTGTAGTTAGAAAATTTATAGCAATCTGCGAGATACTTTTACAGATGCGTTACTAAAATGTACCTTCTCCTGTCATATGAAATTGTAAAGGTTTCAATTTGTACCTAGTTTGTAATGGAAGGTAACTGGATAAAATGACATAGCATTTTTTACGGGAAATATTTAGATGATCTTCAAAAAATCAGAAATTATTACCCAAAAAATACAATTCTACCAATTGTATTTTCTGGGTAATAATTTCTGATTTTTTTCCTAACTTCCTAACCTAACCTAAAGGTTAGGTTATATTGGTTTTTAAAGATGGAGGGGAATACGAGATCTCCCGCCTTAATGAGTGTTAGGGGAATTACTGACTTATATACACTGAGAAACAATAATTAATTAACCAGGTACACTAATGGGAATCGAACCCAGCTACCTCAGTTTTTTGTAGGTTTCGTTATAAAAATAATAAGGAGTCCCTTTATTTGGTGCTGCTCATAAATTTTTATGGCTGAGAAAGTTTTGGCCGCGCCATGTTTTAATTTATATGGTTAAGCTAGCGGTTGCCAGATGGCTGGGAAATCTGGTATTGTCCCGAAATTTTGCGTCTTGTCCCATTTCCAGTAATTAGACCTTATTGTCCCGGAATCCTAAAATACCTTTTTTGCACAATATACTACCCTACACTATACCCTACCTGCGAGGGCCAGCATCTGGAAACCCTGTTAAGGGCCCGTGGTCCCACTGGTATTACCACTGTATGCCACAATGTACCCAAGGTCGACCGTACTAGGGCGATTAATATGGTAACGATCACCGTTTTTATTATGTTAATTATTTTAAATAAAATTATTTGTTAAGTGCAGGAAATGACATTTTCGTAATATAATTAATTACATACTTACTTACATATTTGTTTAATAAGTAAATTATTATTTTTACATTATAAAGTTCGCTTCTGACTGCAAGTCCATATATTACAAAATATTATTATTTTTTGTTTTTAATATCGATACTTACTTACCCGTCGTATAATAAACCCCCTTTTTCAGTTAATGAAAATTAACTCGTTGCGGTACATTGTACTCAAATAGGATATGTGACAAGTTTTAGTTAACGATCTCACGATATTTAGGTAACTAATGTTTATAGAATTCATAAAAAGTGGATATTTTAATTATGTTTTGTAATACAGATATACAAAAAAAAACGAAAAAATGTCAATACATTGATAAGAAGTCTAGAGTTCAAAAGTAATTTATTGGTGTTTAATATTTTTTTATCAATACAATATAAATTGCCCTAGTGCGGTAGGACCAAAGGCCCTAAATTATTTTTATTAGTAATAACCTACCCGCAACATTATAAAAAATATTGACAATTTATATAATACTAGCTGACCCAGCGAACTTCGTACCGCCCTAAAAAAATAGGGGTTGTCCAGCGGACAAAATTGTGAATCTAAACCATTCTCAGATCCCCTTGAACACACACAAAAAATTTCATCAAAATCGGTCCAGTCGTTTAAGAGAAGTTCAGTGACATACACACTCACAGAAGAATTATATATAGGGTGAAATTGAATGTTTTAATGAAACTTCGTGAGATTGTTGGGTTACATGTATAGAGTATGCCTGATTTTTTTCGGAATTTTTGAAGTATATTTTTTTCATGTATTTATTTATAATTCGTGTATTTTTATGTCCTTTCCTCCTTTTGAGTAGTTATTCATTTTAAACAAACAAACTTACATATCCAGTGAAAAATAACTAATAAATACGCACTTCTAAAAAATGGAAAAACATTAAAATTCCACCGCGGCGCAACGACCGACCGCGCCCGCCAGCCGTTGAGTGAGTAGGTACCTCTACACAGAGTTCAGCTGACTCCTTTGATTCCACACAATACAATAAAGTCGTCTTATGCCTTTATTGAAATAATGAGCACAAATGTCATCTTTTCTTAAGCAGAGTAAAACTTTAATAGTTACTAATAATTTTGTCACGATTAGAAATAGGCAAATGTTAAACAAAAAGAAATACTTATTGCAGTTCAATACTTGGGTCAGAATAAAATTTATAACCAGGTATTCAAAAGTGCTTACGAGACCGATGAACCTATTAATTTTTTTCACTTTAACTTCCCGTATACACTTTATAAACACAATCAATCACTAAACCTACTTTCGTAAAACCTTGTGGCTCTGCTGAGTATTCCGTGACACTACAATAACAACACACCATATCCAACTTCTTATATTGAGGCCATAGAACAAGAACTAATCAAGGCATTATTTGCAAATCTTCTCTTGTCACAAATTTAAAAGATACGCACGCGCTGTTTATAAACTTGACACTGCGCTCGCTCACTGCGCTTT